ATGTTGGTCCTTTGCCCTGGACCTGTGACATTCTGGTCTATTTCTGTGTTTACTTGTGGCCAAGTGTAGCAACTATACAATAAATCATCTCTTCTGCTGTCTTAACTGAAGAATTTAAAAAAAAAAAAAAATTTTTAGGGAGAAAAATTCAGACCACAACAGGTACTCAGTAGTGTTAACAGTCTTCCACTTTAATTTATATTTATTTATTTCTCTTTCTAGTTCTGTCATTTGTTCATTTATTTGTTTTCTATATTTTAAAGCTATGTTATTAGGTGCACACAAATTTTTTATTATCTTCCTCTTGACCCATTTCTTATTATGAACTGTCTCTTTACCTCTAGAAATATTTCTTATCTTAAAGCCATTTAAATTGTAATATAGACAGGTCAGCTTCCTTTTGGTGTTTGTATAGGATAGGCTTATCTATTTATTTTTATTTTTTATTTTTTCAGTTTTTTGTTTTTTGGTGTTTTTTTTTGGAGACAGGGTTTTGGTTTGTCGCCCAGACTGGAGTACACTAGCTCAATCTCAGCTCACTGTAACCTCTGCCTCCCAGGCTTAAGCCATCGTCCCACCTTGGCCTCCCAAGTAGCTGGGTATACAGGCTCAGGCCATCAGACCCGGCTAATTTTTGTATTGTTTGTAGAGACAGGGTTTTCCCATGTTGCCCACGCTGGTCTCAAGCTCCTGAGCTAGAGTGATCTGCCCACCTGGGCCTTACAAAGTACATCCTATTAACTAGTCTGTATTATTATATTTTAAATGTGACTTGTAAACAGCATATAGTCGAGGCTTTCTAAAAGCTAATTTGGCAATCTTAGCCTTTTAATTGGAGTGTCTAGTCCATTCATATTTAATATAGTCATTGATTTGGTTTGCTTATAAGTCTGTAATCTTGCCATTTGCTTTTTATTTGTCCTGCCCATGCTTTCTTCCTTTATTCTGCCTTCCTTGCCTACTTTTAAATTAATCAAGTATTTTTGATATTCTGTTTTATCACCTCCATTTTTAGTTTGTTTTTATTTCTATTTTTATTTGAGACCAAGTCACTCTGTCACCCAGGCTGAAGTGCAATAGCACGATCTTGGCTCACTGCAACCTCCACCTCCCAGGTTCAAGTGATTCTCCTGCCTCAGCCTCCTGAGTATCTGGGATTACAGGTATCCATCACCATGCCCATCTAATTTTTGTATTGACTGAGTTTCACCATGTTGGTCACGCTGGTCTAGAACTCCTGACCTCAGGTGATCCACCCACTTCTGCCTCCCAAAGTGCTGGGATTATAGGTGTGAGCCACTGTGCCCAGCCAGTTATATCATTTTTATTGTGATTTAATGGTTCCCCTAAAAATGTGCAAGTGCATACTTGACTTAGCATAGTCTATTTCCCAAACACTACAAGAAACTTACAGCAGTTTAACTCCATTCACATCCCTACCCTTCTTTGTGCTATTGTTGCCATGTATTTTCCTTCTATGCATAAACCCCCTTAGACCTAGTTACCACGGTTGCCTGAAACAGTCAGAATCTTTTTATATTTACCCAGGTGTTGATTCCTTCCTATGCTTTTCTTCCTGTACTTCTGTGCTCCTGTTTAATATTAATTTCCTCCAACCTGAAGAACTTCTTTCAATCTTTCTTGGGGTATGTGACTGCTAGAAACAAAATCTCTTAACTGTTACTTAATTTTTTTTTTCTTTTTAACCTTTTTTGTTGTTGTTTTTTGTTTGTTTGTTTTGAAATGGAGTCCCACTCTGTCCACTAGGTAGGAGTGCAGTGGCATGAGCTTGGCTCACTGCAACCTCCACCTCCTGGGTTCAAGCTATTCTCTTGCCTCAGCCTCCCGGTAGCTGGGATTACAGGCACATGCCACCATACCTACCTAATTTTTTCTATTTTTAGTAGAGATGGGGTTTCACCATGTTGACCGGATGGTCTCAAACTCCTGACCTCAGGTAATCCGCCCATCTCAGCCTCCCAAAGTGCTGGGATTACAAGTGTGAGCCACCATGCCCAAGCTTCATTTTTGAAGGATATTTTCAATTATTAGAATTCTAGAATCAGCATTTCTTTTTTATCTTTCAGATCTTTAAAAGTGTCAATATATTGTCTTTTGATCTCCATAGTTTTTCTTAAAAAATTACTCTTAGGTCTTATATATTTTTCTTTTAGTATAATCTGTCATCTCTTTTGACAGGTTTAAATATTTTCTCTTTGATGTTCATTTTCAATAAGAGTTTTTTGTTTGTTTGCTTGCTTGTTTTTAAGCTACTTGGGGTTTACTAAGATTCTTGGACCTATAAATTGATATTTATCATCAATTTTGTAAAATTCTCAGGGAGCATCTCATCATGTTGCTTCCACCCATGATCTGTTTTCTCTTTACAGGACTTCAGTAACACAATATTAAACCCTGTGTCTATATCCCACACACCTTTTCCACTCTGTTTTATTTTCTCCATTTTCTCCCTGTATTCATATTTGAATATTTTCAACTGACTTGTTTTTAGGTTTCCTAATCCTGTCTGCTGTGGTTTGAATGTGTTCCACAAAGTTCATGTGTTAAAAATGTAACCCCCAATCCAACAGTGCTGACAGGTAGATTTTTAAGAGGTGAATAGGTCACAAAGGCTCTGTCCTCATCAACGGATCAATGTCATTATGACGGGATTTAGTTTGTTATTTGGCTCTCTCTCACTCTCTCTTTAGCTTTCTTGCCCTCCTGTCTTTGACTAAAGGATGAAAAAGGAAGAAAGGCCTCACCAGATGCCAACACTTTGATATTGGACTTCCCAGCCTCCAGAGCTGTGAGAAATAAATTTCTTTTGATTACAAATTACCAAGTCTCGGCCAGGTGTGGTGGCTCATGCCTGTAATCCCAGCACTTTGGTAGGCTAAGGTGGGTGATCACCTGAGTCAGGAGCTCAAGACCAGCCTGGCCAGCACAGTGAAATCCCATCTCTACAAAAGTACAACAAGTAGCTGAGCATGGAAGTGGGTGCTTGTAATCCCAGCAACTCCAGAGGCTGAGGTGGGAGAAGTGCTGGAACACAGAAGGTGGAGATTGCCATGAGCCGAGATCACGCCACTGCCCTCCAGCCTGGGCCACAGAGCAAGACTCTGTCTCAAAAAAAAAAAAAAATTACTAAGTCTCAGGTATTCTGTTGTACAATACAAAATGGACTAAGACACTGACTTTGGCATTTTTTAGTTTTATGCAAAATCCATTCAATGAGCTCTTACTTTAAGATAGTACACAGCTAGGCACAGTAGTTCATGCCTATAATCCCAACACTTTGTGAGGCCAAGGCAAACAGATCATTTGAGCTAAGGAGTTCAAGGACAGCCTGGTTAACATAGTGAAATGCCATCTCTACTAAAAAACAAAAATTAGTTGGGCATCATGGTGGGTGCCTGTAACCTCAGCTACTGAGGAGGCTGAGGCAGGAGAATCACTTGAACCCAGGAAGTGGAGGTTGCAGTGAGCCAAGACTGCGCCACTGTGTTCCAGCCTCTGTGACAGAGGGAGACTCTGTCTCAAAAAAAAGATAGTGTACTTTCCATTTCTAGAATACCTATTTATTCCTTTGTTAAAGACTCTGATTCTCTGTTTAAATGTTTCATCTTTTCATTTATTTTTTCCACATTTTATTTTATTAAAAAATAATCATAATAAAGTCCATGTCTGCAAACTTTAATATCTGGATGATCTATAGGTCTGCTTCTATTATCTACTTTTTCTCTTGATGTATATTTATCTGCTTCTTTGCATATCACATAATGTTGTATGATGAGCCACGTATATAAAAGTACTATACACATTGCAATTGCTACTCTTTCTCCACCCAAAGAGAATTTGTAATTTTGTCTGTTAAGTGGACAAGGTGAAGGACTGATCATTCCAAGCCAACCAGGAAAGCCAGTTTGGGGCTGGCTTGCACTTTTAGTTAGATGCAGCTTAAATGTGGTTTCAACTACCTTGAGACCTTCTTATGTATGTTGCAGATTTCTCACTCCATGGAAATTTGTCTCCTAAGTACCAAGAGACTTCTGGAGATTTTATTCTGATATTCTTGCCCAACCCCTTTTGGGACATGACATGTCTGTAGGCAATTGACTGGGAGACTGGTAGGTCTCTCTCTGTCTCTGTTTCCTCCCCCTGACAGTTCTGTCCTTCAGAGCCAGAGGTATGGGGCTTAGCTCTTGATTTTCTCTTCATCCAGGTTCAAAATCTAGCAAATGTTTTGCAAGGGAGATATTTTGCTTTTCTTGTTTTGTATTGCCTTGCCTTGAGCACGACTTGGCCTCCAGTTGATTTCTTTCTATCTTTGTGACTTAGCCTACCGTCTGCTACACTGCCCTGTCATTCAATGAGTAATCGGTGAGGAAAAGAGTTATTCATTTGATGATCTTGTAGATTCCAGTTTGTCCATGCTGACTCAAATGGCCGTAAGAAAATTCTGTTTTTTCCTTTTACTATAGTTGCTTGCTCTATGACTAGACTCAGAAAATGCCCCAGGCACAAGAATTGCCAGCAATCTCAGTTCATATAATGAAGACATTTCTCCCTCTAGAATTTATTTCACCCAGCTTCATATGTATCTATATGTCTCTGATATCTTTTTTTTTTTTTTTTTTTTTTTTTAAAGATAGGGTTTCACCATGTTGGTCAGGCTGGTCTTGAACTCCTGACCTCAGGTGATCCGCCCACCTTGGCCTCCCAAGTGCTTGGATTACAGGCATGAGCCACCATGTCCGGCCATGTCTCTGATATCTTTAATGTAATCTGTCTTTTTTCTAGTTGTAATAGCTTTCTGTTATTACCACATTGTACTTAAAAGCAGAAGTATTTATGTATAATGACTTTTTGGAATCTTTAAAAAAAAAGCGTAGTTTTTGTTTTTGGTTATGTCCGTTCCTCATTTTGTTATTAGGGTGATACTGGCTTCATAAAATGATTTAGGGAGGATTCCCTCTTTTTCTATCTTGTGGAATAGTGTCAATAGGATTGATACCAATTCTCCTTTGAATGTCTGGTCGAATTCAACTGTGAATCCGTCTGATCCTGAACTTTTTTTGTGTTGGTACTTTTTTGATCCCCATTTCAATCTCACTGCTTATTGGACTGGCCAGGATATCTGATTCTTCCTGATTTAGGCTAGGACAGTTGTATCTTTCCAGGAATTTACGCATCTCCTCTAGGTCTTCTGGTTTATGTGTGTAATGGTGTTCATAGTAGCTTTGAATGATCTTTTGTATCTCTGTGGTGTCAGTTGTAATATCTCCCATTTTACTTTTTTCTTTTTTTGAGACAGAGTCTCACTCTGTTGCCCAGACTAGAGTGCAGTAGCACAATCTCAGCTCACTCCAACCTCTGCCTCCCAGGTTTGAGTGAGTCTCCTGCCTCAGCCTCCTGAGTAGCTGGGATTACAGGCACATGCCACCATGCCTGGCTAATTTTTGTATTTTTAGTAAAGAGGGGGTTTCACCATGTTGGTCAGGCTGGTCTTGAACTCCTGACCTCAGGTGATCCGCCTGCCTTGGCCTCCCAGAGTGCTGGTATTACAAGCATGAGCCACCACACTGGCTCCCGTTGCATTTCTAATTTAGCTTATTTGGATTTTCTTTCTTCTTTTCTTGGTTAATCTTGCTAATGGTCTATCCATTTTATTTATCTTTTAAATAATTAGCTTTTTGTTTCATTTATCTTTTGCATTTTTTTTTGTTTCAATTTCATTTAGTTCTGCTCTGATTTTGGTCATTTCCTTTCTTCTGCTGGGTTTGGGTTTGTTCTTGTTTCTCTAGTTCCTTGAGGTGTGATCTTAGGCCATCTGTTTGTGCTCTTTCAGACCTTCTGATGTAGGCATTTAGGGCTATGAACTTTCCTCTTAGCACCCCCTTTGCTGTATCTCAGAGGTTTTAATAGGTTGTGTCACTATTGTTGTTCAGTTAGAAGAATTTTTTAATTTTCATCTTTATTTCATTATTGACCCAGTGATCTTTCAGGAGCAGGTTACTTAATTTCCATGTATTTGCATGGTTTTGAGGGTTCCTTTTGGAGTTGATTTCCAGTTTTATTCCACTGTGGTCTGAGAGACTACTTGATATATTTCAATTTCTTACATTTATTGAGGCTTTGTTTTGCGGCCTATCATATGGTCTGTCTTGGAGAAAGTACCATGCACTGATGAACAGAATGAATATTAAGCTGTTGTTGGGTAGAATGTTCTGTAAATATCTGTTAAGTCCATTTGTTTCAGGGTATAGTTTAAATCCATTGTTTCTTTGTTGACCTTCTGTCCAGTGCTGTCAGTGGATTATTGAAGTTCACCGCTATTACTATGTTACTTTCTATCTCATGTCTTAGGTCTAGCAGTAATTATTTTATAATTTGGGAACTCTAGCGTTAGGTGCATATATCTTCAGAACTGTGATAATTTCCTGTTGGACAAGGCCTTTTATTATTATATAACATCCCTCTTTGTCTTTTTTAACTGCTGTTGTTTAAAAGCTTGCTTTGGGCTGGCACGGTGGCTCACGCCTGTAATCCTAGCACTTTGGGAAGCCAACACAGGTGAATTGCCTGAGGTCAGGAGTTCAAGATAAGCCTGGCCAACAGGAGGAAACTTTGTCTCTATTAAAAATACAAGAATTAGCTGTGTGTGTTGGCAGGCACCTGTAATTCCGGCTACTCAGGAGGCTGAGGCAGGAGAATCACTTGAACCTGGGAGGCAAAGGTTGCAGCGATGAAAACATTGGCTGAATTTTTAATAAAGATCTCAATTCATTAAGAAAAAGTTACCCTTGGCCGGTCGCGGTGGCTCACGCCTGTAATCCCAGCACTTTGGGAGGCCGAGGCGGGTGGATCACGAGGTCGAGAGATCGAGGCCATCCTGGTCAACATGGTGAAACCCCGTCTCTACCAAAAATACAAAAAATCAGCTGGGCATGGTGGCGCATGCCTGTAATCCCAGCTACTCAGGAGGCTGAGGCAGGAGAATTGCCTGAACCCAGGAGGCGGAGGTTGCGGTGAGCCGAGATCGCGCCATTGCACTCCAGCCTGGGTAACAAGAGCGAAACTCCGTCTCAAAAAAAAAAAAAAAAAAAAAGTAAAAGTTACCCTCTTGCATGAACTTATATTTTGGTATCTATCAAATGGCACTGTAATTAACACAACTCTGACCTCTATTACTGGCATAACAAACTACCCAAAGCATAGTGATTTAAAGCGACTTCTTAGTTCTCATAATTCTGTGAGCTGTCAATCTGAGTGATTCTTCTGTTGGACCCGCCTGGAATCATTCACGTGGCTACAGTCATCTGACAACTCAACCAAACTGGAGGCTCCAAGATGGTCTCCGTCACATGCCTGGATGCTGGCCTTGGCAGGGCGCCTTGGTTTTCCCTACAGAGCCTTCAGTCCTCCAGTAGGGTAGACTGCTGAAGGTAGTTCACAACATGATGTTCCCATGGTCTCACTGGAGCAGGTTCACAACATGATGGTTTCATGGTTTCAATGGACAAACCCCAGTGCATGGGCACCTGTGGGGTCTGTTTGTCTCACGCTTGCTAATGCCCCAGTTCCCAAAGCAACTCAGTGACCAAATCCAAAGTCAGTGAGAAAAAGGTCCACATAAAGTCATACGTACTAGGAGATGATTTATTATAAGAATCTACCACATCCACTGTAAATTTAAGAACTCAGAAGACAAGAAGCATCCTCATTATTTAGCATTTGCCTGCCACCCATAGTGCATTAATCAGACCTCAGCAGCAGCACTCCCTAGGGAGAATTTTTTAATTTTTGGACATTTTGAGTGTTCTAGTGAAATACAGTTCTGCCATGCATATTTGAAATGTGTATTGTCATATTGTAAATTACCAACTGTGTATTTCTCCTTTAATATTGTAGTTTCAATGTTATAGGTTTTTTTTAATTTTGTGCATAGTAGGTTACATAATCCAAAATTTTATTTCAGGAGAGTAAAGTTATAGCACAAAATATTTGTTACAATAAGGCAGTGGTTTGGTAGTAGGTTATATAATCCAGGTTATAGTAGGTTATATAGTAGGTTACATAATCTAAAATTTTATTTCAGGAAAGTACAGTTATATTACAAAATATTTGTTACATTAAGGCAGATATTTTTTTAAAATTAAGAAGTTCTTGAATGTTTTAAGTACTAGCCTTCAGTTATTTTTGAACCATGATAGCCAGATAAAGTGTCACTAAATTATTTTTTTAACTTGGAATGTGGGATGGGAAGGATGGGAGTTTCATGCTTCAGGAAGCACTGAAAAATTATAAAACCTCTATCCTGCCAGACCCAACACCTCTCCAGATCACCAAACTGTCTCTATCACCCTCCTTTCATGGCAAATTTACTTAGACATTATGGTTAGAATTCCGACCTTATTTTACAACCATATACACAGAATTCTTTTCTAGCTTGCTGGTTAACTGAACAGATGGTGTAGTTCCCAAGCTCAGCAGCTGGAGCGGACCGAGGCTGTGCTCCGCACACAGTAGGAGTACCATAAACGTTGATTGACTGAGTTCATTGCGGCAGTTGACGCTAAGCCATCCACTCCCAGGCGATACCCTTATCTTTCTCCAGGCCCACACCCTGCGCCGGGAGACGGTAGCTGGGAGCAGATGGCGATTCCCGGGTGCCAGGTGTACCGCACTCCAGGCGCGGTCTGGGGCACTGGGTTCTACGGTCCCTGCCCTACCCCACCCCTCCCATCGCTGTGAGTTCCCCCAACGCTGTCTGCGCCAAATGTGATGTCTGACTCCGGCGGGAGCATGGGAGGGGACGGGCTGGGAGGAAGGCGATCAGCTGCCCGGTGGTGGGGGTGGGGGGTCGTGCGTCCTATACTCGCTGCCCTCCACGCAGTGTCTCTCTCCTCCTGCCCCGCCTCGCTTGGCAGCCAATGCGGTCTCCGCGCCTTTCCACATCCCCTCTCTGCAATCAAGCGCCTTTCTTCCTCCCCTCCCCTCTTTCTGCTATCTGACATTTTGCTTGCTTCCCTCTGCCCACTCCCCAGCGGGTTTCCGTCCCTGGCAGACGCGCGCCCCATCCCGCCCTCGTGCAACCTCCAATAGCAGGTCAACTGGCTTGTAACGCAGGCTCAGGGCTGCTCTGGTTGAAGCGTTTTTCCAAAAGCGAAGTCAGCCGCTTTCCCCCACGGGGCTAAAACTGTAATTGCTACAACGGGCTGCCGGGTTGGGGGTGGGAAACCCGTGGGGCGCGCCCCACCTAGATCGCCCACTGGGGCCACTGGGTGGTTTCCCGCCCCGCCACCCCCGGTCCAGTAGGCAGCTCCACCCGGACCCTAGCGCCAGGGCCTGGCTGCCGCGGCTGCCAGCGGACAGGCAGAGACCAGCGGATCCGAGGAGGACAAAGCGAGCCGAGACCTTCCGCCAAAGCTCGGCTTCCTCGTAACTGCGCCCAGGGCGCAGCCTCCCGCTGTTAACTACCTGCCATCTGTTCCCTTCTCCCAGACCCGAAACCGCCTCCTACAGGTGCTGGGGACCGAATCTGGAGCGTCCAGCGCGCCCCTTGAAAGGGGTGCCTGGCACCCTGGGGCGCCCCCGTGGCACTCGCCAACTCAGAGAGCCCCCACCCTCCAGTCTTTCCTGCACGAGCCAGGGATCGAGGGAAGGCGGCAATGCACACCTGCCCCTCGGTGATCCGCGGAAAAGGGACGCTTGAGGACTGGGGTGCCACCAATGGTCGCCTTCCAGCCGCTCTCAGCCCTTCCCCCCACATCCCACGCGCCGTGCACGCGCAGCCTGCTCTGCCATCCTGGAACAGACGAGGCAGCTGCGCTCTCAATGGGGCCTCAGCCTGCGGAGTCCGGGGAGGGGTGGAGGGGGGCTGCCCAGCCGGTGTGCGAAGGTTCGTGTGCCAGCCGAGGAGTGGGTCCCACGCGCACGGCGCGCACTGTGCCATCCAAGCAAGGCTCACGGAGAGTACTTAGTCGTCCAGAGAAAGGAGTCCTGGGCACCCAAGAGAGCAGGAGGCCAAGTGGTTGTCAGTTCTGGTCAGTGACGGAACTGGACAGCATGTCCAAGGGCCAAGGG